ACACAGACAACCTCTCGTCAATATGCGTTTTTCGCATTGCATTGCTGCAAAAAATGCATAAAAACGCATAAAAAAGGTAGTACTATTAGAACCAACTCTGACTCTAAATGCAAAATTAAAATTTGTGCCAAACAAGCGCTTTCGGCTTCCGTATTTTCGTAATTTCTATCTGATAATGCCACAATTTTAAGATTTTGCAATACCTGTAAATATTGCAGTGTAATTATGATAGTGCAGAAGGGTCGTCGGTACAATTAAGCGTTTTTGTGGAATTTCTGGTAGCAATAAAATAGCCAGCAGAATGAATGGCAGTTGCATTGTAGTTTGATATGTACATTCATTTTGGAAATATTTTTAATTTTTCGTGCATCTAGGAAAGGGTTATCGGCTAGAAGAGCAGTTTTTTATTGTAGAACCTCGCTTGAAATCCCAGCTTTCTGATATATCTGATAATGTGAAAAACGAATGCTAACAATTTTGCAACTTGCTTGAAATCTGCCGCGTATGTGACATTAAAGCGCATAAAAGCTCATTGTATATTTTTGGTACTGCACAGGATCAAACATCATCTTTTCACAATTTCAGTTTTTTAGCCCGCCTGATTTCCGAGCGAAAAGAATGTAGACACTTTTGCAAGTTGGATATTTGCCATAGGCATACGCGTGTACAAAAGCTTATTTTACACTTACAGGTTCTCAGGTGAACAACAAACACTCTCGCAAAAGTTCAGCTAATTGTTCGGTTTGATTCTCGCGTTAAAGGCGTCAGCAGCTTCGAGCTCAACCTTCACTAGCTTGTACACAGAATCTAAACGTGCCTCAAAGCCTAGTTAAAAACCTTTAGGCCGTAGATAGACTGTGAGCTCCTTGCAAAATTCAGCTGCCGAGCTTTACTGGTTCTTAAGAACAATCCCCAGCAAAATAATTTTTGATTTCTCGGCGCTTAAGCGCGTAGCAAGTCTTCTTAAACTTTAATTGAAATCTTCAAGTTGCGCACATGCAAAGGAAATCCTGGTGCTCCCCACCGTATTTTATTCCCGAAATCGTTTCCCGCCAAGCAATTTTTCTAGATGGAGGTGAGTGAGACATCAGTGTACGTGAACGTTGATGCGGTTAGGGTTGGCGCATGTGCTGGAAACATCAGTGTAAATTTTGGCAGTGCTTAGGCTCACAAAGCTGGAGTTAACGTACAGAGCTATGAATCAAAAATTTGCACGACTTGCATGTAGTGAAAGAATCAAAAAACAGTAGTGAAGGCGAAAGTAATTTTTGTGCATGCATGTGCAGTAGTGTTTTTTTTTTGCATTCTCTTGGATATTCTAAATAACTTAGTGCAAAAAGCAAAACCGTGCCACCACAGTGGTGAGCGCTCTTTTTTTACCAATTTGCTCCCATTAAAGAAGAATATACATGTACTTCACGCGTTGCAGTACAGTTTTAATCTCAAATCTAAAAATAAGCGACATGTACTTCACTAGAAAAAGACATAAGTGAATAAACGGCCATCAGTTATACAATGAAGCATGAAAAGTATACCGCCACGTGCAGCCCAAGCATGAAAAGGGTAGATTCACAAAATTTTTTTTTGCACCAGTATTTTCACTCGTATTGACAATAATATAATTAGTCTCATATCTCTCATTTAGAATTTGCAACATTTCTCTTCCAAAAGTGACCGAGCCATTTCTTTGCAAATGAGATTTGACACACACACACTTCTTAGCGCTGCGCTTCGAAAATTCCATTTTTTTTGTTTACTAGTGAGTCAGTAGAAGGAAGAATAAAAAAACTGAACACTGTAAGTGTCTTATTAGCCCTTCTTACCGCACAGCCTTAGCTTTTTGAAAAAAGCCCCTACATTTAGCACAAAACCGGCGCATTTGCCTTTTATTTCATGCTTAATTAAACGCCCAGCACAAATACTTTTTGTTTCAATTCTCAATCACCCAGCGCTGCCTTGCATGTTCGAAATGACAAGTTTGTTTGCTCTTCTAAATCCTCACTCAATCCAGTTGCGATTGCCAAAGCGGTTGCTACCACTAGCACTGGTTGGTGCTGACATACGGAACAGCATGGCAGAATTCCTGGTATTGCCGATTATTGCCGCTGCCGTTTTTCGTATTTCGTACAATTCAGTGAGCTGAAACCTACTCGAAGATGGGTACTCAGAGAATTTTCCTGAAACTTACTCGGAGAATTTCCCATGAAATCACGAGCACCTTCCTTCCCCTCGCAGATTCTCGCTTGTTCCTTCCCCATATTGCATGCTACCCAGATGAAAACTTAACTCATTATTTTTTTTACCAACAAGAACAAAAACTGCTAGAGTAAAATCCCTCTATTATTTGTTTTGTTACGAAGACTGCTGTAGTTGTAAAATGGCAGGCCCCGATGAGTGAGGACGGGTTTTTGTTCAATGTTGCGATAGCCAAAGCGGTTGCTACTGCTAGCACTGGTTGGAGATGAAGTGCGGAAAAGCAAGGCAGAATTCCTGGTACTATCGCTGCCGCCGCTGTTGTCTGTCGTACTCGTAGTGTTATTGCTACTATCGCTGGGAAGTGGCCGTCCGAAATGAATACGAATAAACTTTATTGAATCGTTTTTGTTCTGGGGAATGTAAATGGTGCCACGATTGTCGCCATCGGCAGGAAATGGAATACCGAAATGAATGCGGATGAATTTTCCCGAGCTGATTTTATTGTCGTCGTGTTGGTTGTGAAGGATGCTGCTGTTGGTAACGAGTGCCAGAGTACTGTTGTTGCCAAATTTCAGTACTATGTCAGGTGTTCTCTTGGCCGTCGCACGCAGTGCAAATGTTGTTGATGTGGCAAAATAAATTAGGAATACAAATGAGATATCAATCAACATCACTTTGCAGTCCATAGGACAGCAATCTACAGCGTATCCTGAAAGCATATTCCTCGGCAAATTTTAACCCGGACTGGAACGCACCAGGCCTGTCGGTGCGATCAAGCGTTTTTGCACTGAACTCGTAGATCGCTAATAGCAGGAATGATCCCCGTGCTGCAACCTAACACTTGGGCTCATATTGGCCCCGCGTTGGCCCCTTCCGGCATGCTAAAGAAAGGGCGTTGGTTGAAATGAAGGCGGAGCATTATAGAGCCGCATGGACCTCCAAGTACATGATTACCAGGTTTTATGCGTTTTTGCATAATATGCAAATGCGAAAAAGCATATTGCGACGACCCCGCTGTGCGTGTATGTGTGTATGTGTGTGTGTGTGTATGTGCGCGTCTGTCCGGGTATTTCAACTCGGCACCCAAGCAAGCTCCGGCGCCAAAATTTTGCGAG